CTAAATCAAATAAAATTATATTTATTTTAACATGACGGGAACGTAAACCCTGTGTCTGGACTAAAGAGAATGCTTTAAACTACTTATGGGTCCCTTTCAAACAATGCAGAGTTCAAATACAAAGGTAAAGATTTTAAATCAAAAAATCATTATTTTATTCCTTATTTTAATATTCGATGACGGTTGATGACGTCAACCACCTGTATTCAATGGAGAGAGATGCTATGCTCCTAGCCACATGCCATGAATATGCATAGTCTTCTCGAGACAACTCCACTATAAAATGTTTTTTCTCAAAGTCACCGGGATGTCACCTGTCCTACTTATATCAGTACACTCGCAACAACTTAAGCATTACGAAACTTCTATTCGATTAAATAAACCTCACATGGCAAATAAGCCATTTGACACTCTCTCATTGACCTCCATACAAAAACGTATTGCTTGGTGGGCGAAACAATGAAAGACCGCCACCTGCTGGAGGAAAACAGATTTCCCGCCGAGTTGGGACTCTCTCTTCCTCTTCGGATATAGGGAGACCTCCGCAATGTTACACAATTTGGGAGGCGTACGGCGATACGGTACAGCGCTTGATTTGGCCTCAGCAACAGAGGAGGCGCAATTGCGCCACACCCTCCATAGAGAGGCTCCTGTTCGCATTGTAGGATCAAGCATAAATGGCCTTTTCGAGACTGGTGTGTGTAGTTGGTAGGCCTACCAACGGCTTTGTGAACTCCCTCCCCTTTCTGTGAATAGCAGTACCTCACTGCTGAATTGGGCAATACTTTTAAAAGCCACGTTGAATGCAGTTACACACAGCATCCCATATGGTCTAGCGGTTAGGATTCCTGGTTTTCACCCAGGCGGCCCGGGTTCGACTCCCGGTATGGGAACGACTATTTTTGTTAGTGTTCTTACTTCTAAATAAATATTATATGCAATTCAGTTGCTTACATATTTCTACAATGCATCCATGAAGTTCCGTTTGGCGCGAAAAAACAACACATTTACATTTACATCATTTAGCAGACGCTCTTATCCAGAACGACGTACAAATTTGTTCATTTTTTTAATGGGGGGGTGGGGGTGTAGAAGGATTACTGTTATACTATTCCAGCTTTTCCTTAAAGAGGTAGGGTTTCAAGTGTCTCCGGAAGGTGTTCAGTGACTCCGCTGTCCTGGCGTCGTGGGGGAGCTTGTTCCACCATTGGGGTGCCAGAATAGCTTTGACTGGGCTGAGCGGGAACTGTGCTTCCGTAGAGGTAGGGGGGCCAGCAGGCCAGAGGTGGATGAACGCAATGCCCTCGTTTGGGTGTAGGGACTGATCAGAGCCTGAAGGTAAGGAGGTGCCGTTCCCCTCACAGCTCCGTAGGCAAGCACCATGGTCTTGTAGTAGATGCGAGCCTCAACTGGAAGCCAGTGGAGTGTGCGGAGGAGCGGGGTGACGTGAGAGAATATGGGAAGGTCGAACACCAGACGGGCTGCAGCGTTCTGGATGAGTTGTGAATATTCAATACATCAGCCTAGCTAGTACTGACTGTTACACATTTATGAGAATATGTCCTTACATTAAATGAAACATTGATTCCGCCAATTCCACTGCTGCTACTCGCTGTTAATTATCTATGCAGTCACTTTACCCCTACCTACATGTACAAATTACCTCGACTAACCTGTAGCCCCGCACATTGAGTCGGTACCGGTACCCCCTGTATATAGCCTCGTTATTACCTGGACTAACCTGTAGCCCCGCACATTGAGTCGGTACCGGTACCCCCTGTATATAGCCTCGTTATTACCTGGACTAACCTGTAGCCCCGCACATTGAGTCGGTACCGGTACCCCCCGTATATAGCCTCGTGTATTACCTGGACTAACCTGTAGCCCGCACATTGAGTCGGTACCGGTACCCCCCCGTATATAGCCTCGTTATTACCTGGACTAACCTGTAGCCCCGCACATTGAGTCGGTACGGTACCCCCGTATATAGCCTCGTTATTACCTGGACTAACCTGTAGACCGCACATCGAGTCGGTTACCGGTACCCCCCGTTATATAGCCTCGTTATTACCTGGACTAACCTGTAGCCCCGCACATCGAGTCGGTACCGGTACCCCCCGTATATAGCCTCGTTATTACCTGGACTAACCTGTAGCCCCCGCACATCGAGTCGGTACCGGTACCCCCCGTATATATCCTCGTTATTACCTGGACTAACTGTAGCCCCGCACATCGAGTCGGTACCGGTACCCCCCCGTATATAGCCTCGTTATTACCTGGACTAACCTGTAGCCCCGCACATCGAGTCGGTACCGGTACCCCCCGTATATAGCCTCGTTATTACCTGGACTAACCTGTAGCCCCGCACATCGAGTCGGTACCGGTTACCCCGTATATAGCCTCGTTATTACCTGGACTAACCTGTAGCCCCGCACATCGAGTCGGTACGGTACCCCCTGTATATAGCCTCGTTATTACCTGGACTAACCTGTAGCCCCGCACATGGAGTCGGTACCGGTACCCCCCGTATATAGCCTCGTTATTACCTGGACTAACCTGTAGCCCCGCACATCGAGTCGGTACCGGTACCCCCCGTATATAGCCTCGTTATTACCTGGACTAACCTGTAGCCCCGCACATCGAGTCGGTACCGGTACCCCCTGTATATAGCCTCGTTATTACCTGGACTAACCTGTAGCCCCGCACATCGAGTCGGTACCGGTACCCCCCGTATATAGCCTCGTTATTACCTGGACTAACCTGTAGCCCCGCACATCGAGTCGGTACCGGTACCCCCCGTATATAGCCTCGTTATTACCTGGACTAACCTGTAGCCCCGCACATCGAGTCGGGTACCGGTACCCCCCGTATATAGCCTCGTTATTACCTGGACTAACCTGTAGCCCCGCACATCGAGTCGGGTACCGGTACCCCCCGTATATAGCCTCGTTATTACCTGGACTAACCTGTAGCCCCGCACATCGAGTCGGTACCGGTACCCCCCGTATATAGCCTCGTTATTACCTGGACTAACCTGTAGCCCCGCACATCGAGTCGGGTACCGGTACCCCCTGTATATAGCCTCGTTATTACCTGGACTAACCTGTAGCCCCGCACATTGAGTCGGTACCGGTACCCCCCGTATATAGCCTCGTTATTACCTGGACTAACCTGTAGCCCCGCACATCGAGTCGGTACCGGTACCCCCCGTATATAGCCTCGTTATTGTGTTTCTTTTATTATTATTTATTTTTTAATTTAGTAAATATTTTCTTAATAACTCTATTTCTTGAACTGCATTGTTGGTTAAGGGCTTGTAAATAAGCATTTCACGGTAAGGTATTCGGCGCATGTGACAAATAAAATTTGATTAGATAAAATACTGTGTGAAAATAATTTCACGTAGCTACAGTGAAAAGCCGAGGTGGAGTAAATGGACACGCTCTTTCGCATGTTCTCCACCAGGTGGCGTCTTAGAACAGCCTGACCTGGCTAAGTAACATACAGACATTGTAGTCATTTAGCAGACGCTCTTATCCAGAGCGACTTACAGTTCGTGAGTACATACATTTCCCCCCCCCCATACTGGTCCCCCGTGGGAAACGAACCCACAACTCTGGCGTTGCAAACGCCATGCTCTACCAATTGAGCTACACGGGACTAGCATAGTACTATTTTATCTCACGTGTTACAGAGTAGTTACACTACTCCTAGCTTCATTTCTAGCTTAATCGCATTACCAGAATAAGTGGTAGTTGAACTACTTGCCAATTCATTTATAACATTCAGTAGTTAACACGTTTTATCACCCTGTAATAAGGACACAACTAAAAAGCTACACTTATCTCATTCGACAACTTTTAACCAAGTAAATTCGATTTCCTGCAGGTTGCTGATTCTCAGTCAGCCTGGGTTCCTGTCGGTTTGTGCCATCACGCCACTCCTTGCCATGCCAACAGACTGGAACCAGGCTAGTTGATTCTCACAACTCTCCCCCAAGATAGATTAGAGGAAAGGCCTTGCGACAGACAATGATCCTGTCTAGGGGGTGTACAAATACATCAATAGGACTCAAATATTAGATACTGGCTCAGACAAGGCATCCATGTAAAGAAAGCATTTGATTTTATTAGAATTACATACAGTATCCAACCCTGTACAACATATTACAACTCTGTCACTTTGGATTACAAAGATACATTCAAACAACTGATGGACAAGACAAGAGTTCCAACCATCACGAAAACACAAACCCAGCTTTTATCCTAGTTCAGACTTTTATCCTAGTTCAGACTTAAGTAATTCAGGCTTTTAAGTAATTCAGACAAACGAAAATAAAAAGGCAAACCAAACAAAAAAACGAATTTCTTCTGAACATTCCCCCCACAAAACAGGATCAAATAATACTCTGAAACAAGCTCTATATTTCATATTCGTTAAAGCCTCAGTCTGTCCATTTTTAATTAGAGACATACGACCTGGTGAAAAGTAGTGCACTATAAAAAGGAATCGGGTGGCATTTTGGACGAAGCTTCAGTGAGTATTAATTAACATTACACCCCATTCAACTTCAACGGTCTTTGTAAACAAGTAAATACATGAGGATATCAGACTGCTTACCAGAGTTAAATGGCTAGCTGTTTACCAGTTAAATGGCTAGCTGTTTACCAGAGTTAAATGGCTAGCTGTTTACCAGTTAAATGGCTAGCTGTTTACCAGAGTTAAATGGCTAGCTGTTTACCAGAGTTAAATGGCTAGCTGTTTACCAGTTAAATGGCTAGCTGTTTACCAGAGTTAAATGGCTAGCTGTTTACCAGAGTTAAATGGCTAGCTGTTTACCAGAGTTAAATGGCTAGCTGTTTACCAGAGTTAAATGGCTAGCTGTTTACCAGAGTTAAATGGCTAGCTGTTTACCAGAGTTAAATGGCTAGCTGTTTACCAGTTAAATGGCTAGCTGTTTACCAGAGTTAAATGGCTAGCTGCTTACCAGAGTTAAATGGCTAGCTGTTAGATTCAGCTCTGTGTAAAACATGCTACCCATAACAGAACAACCCATTGATTCCAAGCACACACACACACACACACACACACACACACACACACACACACACACACACACACACACGACTGAAAGGAGTAGTAGCATGTAGTTTCTCCTAGAAACGTCCAAAATGGCCCTCTACTCCTTCTATAGTGCACTACTCAAAGAATTAGACAGAATCCTTTAATTTAATCTCTAATATTGACCAGAGGCTCTGGTAAAAAGTGGCGCTCTATATAGGGAGCCATTTGAGATGTAGCCACAGCCACTGATCTGAGCTAAGCTTTGCATTTCCCCCTGATGTTTATGCTCAGGGGTTTGTAAGAGTTAGCAGATCCTAGACCTGTGGTTAACGAGCCTAAAAGAACAGGTCGAAAGCACTGAGGGCTTCCGTCTCCATCTGCTGATTGGCAGACCCCGATATCAACTCCTCCAAGAAGTTCTCACCAGAGGTCGTGATTGTCCCATCCAGACCAGGCAGTGGCATTACTACACCGTGATTGGCCGGTTGTAAGGTCGCAGGGGCCACCACCTGCGAGGCTCCACCAATCGCATTCCCCCCACATGCCAAGTTCCCGCCCCCTTCTTGCCCATTGGTGGTCAGCATCTCCAGGAAGCCCGTGCTGTCCGGTGATAGGTTGCTGGCAGTCGTCGCGGGTGACAGAAGGTCGGCGAAGAACTCGTCGTAAGCGGGGCTGTCGTAGACCGAGGTACTGGAGCTAACAGTATAGGGGGAGCGAAGGTCGGTGCAGTCTGGTCTGCGGGTCACTTCCTCTCCTCCTCCTCCTGCACCCCCCTGGTACCCCAACATCTGATTCAGCTTCTCCAGTTTCTTCTTCTTGGCTTTCAGCTTTTTCAGAAGCTTGTACCTGAGGGCCTCTGTCTCACTGAGGCCGGCCGGAACCTTCGAGACCTGGACACCGGGGCTGTGTTTCCCGGAGGAAGAGATTTTAAGGAGCTCCGTGACTCCTGGAGAAGGAGGAAGTGAGGTCACATTAGGATACGTTGCTGTAGTGTTGTTGTCGATAGGGGGTTTTCGCGAGGCGAGGGCACCAGGCTGACTTTGTGTCTTCCAGACGCCATTTTGAGGGTCAGTTCTTTGAGAGAGTAACTGCGTGGGAGGTGAAGTCTTGGAGGGGACATTGTTTATGTTTGTATTTACGTTCCTGCTCCTGACCTGGAACCCTCCGTACATCTCGGCAGCCTTCACCGGCAGGGCCTCGTTGTCCTCCTTACTCAGTTTGGGTTTGGGGAGAGGCGGAGGCTTCTTCAGCCTGGCGTCTGGGTTTGGGGGAGCCATCCTGGGGGTCTGCCCGCTCTGTGAAAGCGGCTGTAACCAGTTGGGTGTTGAGTGGTTGACGTGGTTGAATTGACTGGGTGGTCTCTGCGTGCTGGGGGTCGAGGTAGAGGTGGGGTGGCGGCTGAGCAGGTACGACCAGTGGGAGTTGGGGTCCGGTGGCGGAGGGAGGCCAGGTTTGCTCTGCAGAGAGGTGGAGGTATTGGGGGTTTTGGGGTGGGGCGGGGGCGGGGGAGAGGGAGGGAACTCTGGTGCTGGTGTGCTGGGTTCCACATATGATGGTGACATCATAGACACAACTGAGGGCAGGATTATATCACCACAGTTTCCAGGAAGTGCCATTGGTGTAGCTGTTCTTGGTGTTGATGTTGGTGTGACCACCTTAGCTGCTGCAGCAACTGGAGTGTTGGACGCCATCTTCCGTCTATTGCTGCCCCTCCTGACCTTGAGAGGACTAGGAGTGAGTTCTTCAGAGTCGAGCTCAGAAGGACCGTCACTGCTGTCAGGGAGAAACTCACTGGCCGTGTCCGGGGACGTTGGTCTTTCCATCTCCTCATCATCATCATCATCATCATCGGTTTCAAGGGGCGTTTCAGATTCAGTGGGTATTTCATGGGTAGATCGGGTAATTTCATCGGCAAGTGGGGGAGTCTCGGTCTCAGATCTAGGAGCAGGGAGAAAGCAGAGGTCTGGTCCTTTTCGTTCGGACGCTGGGGTGATGTCGTCCAACGGCCTGCCCTCAGAGTCAATTTTAACCTCTAAGAGAGTCAGGGTGACGATGTCATCGTGGGAGAGGCCTTCGAAGTTGTCGAGCAGCGTGGCAGAAACGCTGGACGCGTTACCAACGTTACCGACTGTTACCGTGGTGTCTTTGTTGGTACCGTCAGACGCCGTCAGCGCCTCAACAATGACGGAGGAGGAACCAATGGTGATGGGAGAGTATATGTCATCCGTTAATGTTGTGTCCATATTGTTATCTATATCGCCAGCAGTTATGGTGGTGTCCATATCAGTGACCGCATCATCAGAGACCGTCTGAGAAAGGTCTAGAGATTCATTTACGACAAATAGCTTGGCTAAGTGAGGTTGCTTCAGTTCTTTCTGCATCAAGGAAGTGCTCGTCAGCGTTTCAGGTTGAGAAGAGCAGGGTGTCTGTGGGTTGTCAGGTCCGTCTGTCTCCAACTCCCAGAAGACAACATGGATCTCTCGAGGAGGGACCACCAGCTTGGTGTGGGAGACACAGTCTGGGTGCTTCAGGTCATCAAACTCTAACCATGATCCTGTGGAGAGAGAGAAGAAAGCGTTAGGAATGGGTTCTATACACTGGCGGTGGATGGGGAGAGTTACTAGTCACAGAGGAATGGGCTCTATACACTGGCGGTGGATGGGGATAATTACTAGTCACAGAGGAATGGGCTCTATACACTGGCGGTGGATGGGGATAATTACTAGTCACAGAGGAATGGGCTCTATACACTGGCGGTGGATGGGGAGAATTACTAGTCACAGAGGAATGGGCTCTATACACTGGCGGTGGATGGGGATAATTACTAGTCACAGAGGAATGGGCTCTATACACTGGCGGTGGATGGGGATAATTACTAGTCACAGAGGAATGGGCTCTATACACTGGCGGTGGATGGGGAGAGTTACTAGTCACAGAGGAATGGGCTCTATACACTGGCGGTGGATGGGGAGAATTACTAGTCACAGAGGAATGGGCTCTATACACTGGCGGTGGATGGGGAGAGTTACTAGTCACAGAGGAATGGGCTCTATACACTGGCGGTGGATGGGGAGAGTTACTAGTCACAGAGGAATGGGCTCTATACACTGGCGGTGGATGGGGAGAATTACTAGTCACAGAGGAATGGGTTCTATACACTGGCGGTGGATGGGGAGAATTACTAGTCACAGAGGAATGGGCTCTATACACTGGCGGTGGATGGGGAGAGTTACTAGTCACAGAGGAATGGGCTCTATACACTGGCGGTGGATGGGGAGAATTACTAGTCACAGAGGAATGGGTTCTATACACTGGCGGTGGATGGGGAGAATTACTAGTCACAGAGGAATGGGCTCTATACACTGGCGGTGGATGGGGAGAGTTACTAGTCACAGAGGAATGGGTTCTATACACTGGTGGTGGTTGGGGAGAATTACTAGTCACAGAGGAATGGGTTCTATACACTGGTGGTGGATGGGGAGAATTACTAGTCACAGAAGAATGGGCTCTATACACTGGCGGTGGATGGGGAGTTACTAGTCACAGAGGAATGGGCTCTATACACTGGCGGTGGATGGGGAGAGTTACTAGTCACAGAGGAATGGGCTCTATACACTGGCGGTGGATGGGGAGAATTACTAGTCACAGAGGAATGGGTTCTATACACTGGCGGTGGATGGGGAGAGTTACTAGTCACAGAGGAATGGGCTCTATACACTGGTGGTGGATGGGGAGAGTTACTAGTCACAGAGGAATGGGTTCTATACACTGGCGGTGGATGGGGAGAATTACTAGTCACAGAGGAATGGGTTCTATACACTGGCGGTGGATGGGGATAATTACTAGTCACAGAGGAATGGGCTCTATACACTGGCGGTGGATGGGGAGAGTTACTAGTCACAGAGGAATGGGCTCTATACACTGGCGGTGGATGGGGAGATTTACTAGTCACAGAGGAATGGGCTCTATACACTGGCGGTGGATGGGGAGAGTTACTAGTCACAGAGGAATGGGCTCTATACACTGGCGGTGGATGGGGAGAATTACTAGTCACAGAGGAATGGGTTCTATACACTAGTGGTGGATGGGGAGTGTTACTAGTCACAGAGGAATGGGCTCTATACACTGGCGGTGGATGGGGAGAATTACTAGTCACAGAGGAATGGGTTCTATACACTGGCGGTGGATGGGGAGAGTTACTAGTCACAGAGGAATGGGCTCTATACACTGGTGGTGGATGGGGAGAGTTACTAGTCACAGAGGAATGGGTTCTATACACTGGCGGTGGATGGGGAGAATTACTAGTCACAGAGGAATGGGTTCTATACACTGGCGGTGGATGGGGATAATTACTAGTCACAGAGGAATGGGCTCTATACACTGGCGGTGGATGGGGAGAGTTACTAGTCACAGAGGAATGGGCTCTATACACTGGCGGTGGATGGGGAGAATTACTAGTCACAGAGGAATGGGCTCTATACACTGGCGGTGGATGGGGAGAGTTACTAGTCACAGAGGAATGGGCTCTATACACTGGCGGTGGATGGGGAGAATTACTAGTCACAGAGGAATGGGTTCTATACACTAGTGGTGGATGGGGAGTGTTACTAGTCACAGAGGAATGGGCTCTATACACTGGCGGTGGATGGGGAGAGTTACTAGTCACAGAGGAATGGGCTCTATACACTGGCGGTGGATGGGGAGAATTACTAGTCACAGAGGAATGGGCTCTATACCCTGGCGGTGGATGGGGAGAATTACTAGTCACAGAGGAATGGGCTCTATACACTGGCGGTGGATGGGGAGAGTTACTAGTCACAGAGGAATGGGCTCTATACACTGGCGGTGGATGGGGAGAGTTACTAGTCACAGAGGAATGGGCTCTATACACTGGTGGTGGATGGGGAGTGTTACTAGTCACAGAAGAACAGATAACATGCTCACTCTCAGATCATTCCTTAATAGTAGGAAGGTGCTGAATCCTTGAAGGTATTTCTGGTGTCTTCGCTTTGATAGAGTTCCACCAAAACAACGTAAAGACACCGACCGATTGGCACTTTATAAATGCTACACATTATTGGACAGACAGACTTTTCAGTTATGAAATCTAGATCTGATTCTATCCATTGATAATGGAAGTATGAATAAAATAACACAAATTAACTAATTGACCAGTAAACAACAACAACACAGTCGGAATCGGCCGAGGGGACAAATAAAGTTCTACTGAATTTAGTTGAAACAGACACCAACTCAATTAAAAGTCCAACTGACCGTCAGGTCTGCGTATCCAGGTGACAAAGTGCTTGAGTTGCTGGTCATACTGTAGGACGGTGGTGACGGAGTATCTCTGCTGCTGGAAGGTGAAGGAGTACACACTGAGGTCATTGTCAGGGAGACCTTCTACAAAGTGCAGCACAAACACAGGAGACAGCCTGGAAGAGACGACAGAGGAAATGTCAGGAAACAGAAGTAGAGAAAGTCGAGACAATATCTACAACATGGCACTCCTCTCCTCTTCCATCTCCTCATCTCCTCTCCTCATCTCCTCTCCCATCTCCTCATCTCCTCCATCTCCTCATCTCCTCTCCTCATCTCCTCTCCTCCATCTCCTCCATCTCCTCATCTCCTCTCCTCCATCTCCACTGACTGAATAGGTAAAGACAAAGTCCTGGGAAGCTCCTGAAAGGAATCCACTTGACTGTTAAGGTCAGGGTCAATTGAATTCTCCTCCTCCACTGAATTGAAAGTTGCCCATTGTTTTCTATAAGGACTTTTCAATTTGGAAATAGAATTGTAATTTCATTCACTTCCTGAATTGAAAACGGAATTGACCCCAACCCCTGGTTGAGATCCACACCAGGTATTAAAAAGGTTAAAAGTTCACGCACTCACCTCTCCAGCACCAACATCCTGGTCTGCTTCCTCTTATTACACTTGCTGCAGCGTGATTGGTTGGCAGCATTGAGAGGGTGCCAATCAGAAACCACCTTGGTGAAAGTGGTGAGGGTCTTCTTACATCTGAAAGAAAAATCAATTTCATCGTTAGCATTCAGATGAAGAAACGCAGACAGACACGCGCAGCACCCGCAGTTATATACGCAGGGCGGGCAGGTTTAGGGTCATTCAATATCGTGTGGAAGAAGGGCTTGAATAAATACTAATAAAGAGAAAACAATCCCTTAAAAGTATAATTATTGTGCGATTTATATCTATAGGCTATATTCCCTATATCTGTACACCGTCCATATCTGTTACCCTGTGCGCGCGTGTGTTAGTGATGCGTGAGTTGACTCCTAAACTGCGGTTATATCCGCGAGGCGGGAGGGTTTAGGGGTCATAAACTGCGGTTATATCCACGAGGCGGGAGGGTTTAGGGGTCATAAACTGCGGTTATATCCACGAGGCGGGAGGGTTTAGGGGTTATGAAATATTATGCGGATGAAGGTAAGTGATAAATGTTTCATTCTTGTGCGATTTATATCCATAGTCTACATTGAAGTGTATCTTTCATTATTTCAGGCTATCTGGCATTTAGTGCCTAAGCCTGAGCTTTAAGGCGTAACTGAACGCCGCAAATAGCCTGCACGCCAACCGCCAAATTATTTTGGGAACGGGGCAGGAAAAAGTTAACGTTGTTCCATGGTGGCAAAAAAAGGGACAGTGTTGGAGTTTAATTCAATAAGAAGAAAAAAGTTTAAAATAAAGAGAAGGGAGGACCAGAAAAAAGTCATGTTTGGGAAAGATTTGGTGCAGTGGTAAAACAGGATGATAGCAGTGCCGGCTACGTTGTGTGTGATGATTGTGAGGCTCTATACAAATTCGACTGTCACAAGACGGGACTTGAAATAGGCCTATGGGCACGTCAAGGGAACTGTAGCCTACTGTTCAGATGGGTTAAACGGAAACTGACATCTGGACACCGACTGTAGGTCTATAGCCTCTCACATAGCCGTAATATTAACTCCTGCAGAATTAAGCATTTCTTGCAGTAAAATTATACACCAAATGTAGGCTACATTTTGACTCAGGAACAGAAGTGGAGAAATATGATTTATTTATTTCAGCATCTTGAGAGATTGCGAATGCGCAGCTAGGGAACATCTGTAGAGCTGCTGTCTTTATCAGCGTCGTAAAAGCTGATGATTAGTATTTCAACCACATAAAACATACATCAAAGCTGAACTGAAATATTATCAAAAACCTGTTGGGAATTTTTTTTTTACAACTTTATATTTCCTTACAACCGGTCAAACTGATGTCATGTGGACATTTTGCACAGAAAATCTTCCCCAGTTTTTTTTGGGGAGTTAATGTATTTTTCTCCCCGGTGCCTAAACGTGTTTGAAGCAGAAATAACCGATGTCAACGAGACTGAAGCATTCATTCTATCGATTTATGACATTATTCTGGTGAGCAAGGGTTTATTTAGTCTTCAAGGGCGACATGTAATAACAGAAGAGAAGCTGCATGTATCCAATTATAGTCAATTGACTAATACATTCGGAGAGTACGACCCTGCCTTACACAGGAAGCGGCACAGGTCCTAATCCAGGCACTTGTCATCTCCCGTCTGGATTACTGCAACTCGCTGTTGGCTGGGCTCCCTGCCTGTGCCATTAAACCCCTACAACTCATCCAGAATGCCGCAGCCCGTCTGGTGTTCAACCTTCCCAAGTTCTCTCACGTCACCCCGCTCCTCCGCACACTCCACTGGCTTCCAGTTGAAGCTCGCATCTGTTACAAGACCATGGTGCTTGCCTACGGAGCTGTGAGGGGAACAGCACCTCCGTACCTTCAGGCTCTGATCAGACCCTACACCCAAACGAGGGCATTGCGTTCATCCACCTCTGGCCTGCTGGCTCCCCTACCTCTGCGGAAGCACAGTTCCCGCTCAGCCCAGTCAAAACTGTTCGCTGCTCTGGCACCCCAATGGTGGAACAAGCTCCCTCACGACGCCAGGACAGCGGAGTCACTCACCACCTTCCGGAGACATTTGAAACCCCACCTCTTTAAGGAATACCTGGGATAGGATAAAGTAATCCTTCTACCCCCCCCCACAAAAAATTAATAAAAATAAATAATAATTGTAAAGTGGTTATCCCACTGGCCATAGGGTGAATGAACCAATTTGTAAGTCGCTCTGGATAAGAGCGTCTGCTAAATGACGTAAATGTAATAAATCGAGAGCTTGGAACTATCTACAAAAAATATGATTCTAAGATAATTGGCTTTAAAGTTCTGAACCCTCATTGGTTTGAATGGTGGCAGCAATTTTTCATCTTGTATTCTTTTGAACTTATCAACATGAATTGGGGTATTTAGAGTACTATACAGTGCATTCGGAAAGTATTCAGACCCCTGGACGTTTTCCACGTTATGTTACAGCCTTATTCTAAAATTGATTAAATTCATTTTTCCCTCATCGATCTACACACAATACAGAAAACAGATTTTTAGATTTTTTTGCAAATGGTATAAAAGACAAAATACAGAAATACCTTATTTACATAAGTATTCAGACCCTTTGCTATGAGACTCGAAATTGAGCTCAGGTGCATCCTGTTTCCAATGCTCATCCTTGAGATGTTTTACAACTTGATTGGAGTCCTCCTGTGGTAAATTCATTTGATTGGACATGATTTGGAAAGGCACACACCTGTCTGTATAAGGTCCCACAGTTGACAGCGCATGTCAGCGCAAAAACCAAGCCATGAGGTCAAAGGAATTGTCCGTAAAGCTCCGAGACAGGATTGTGTCGAGGCACAGATTTGGGGAAGGGTACCAAAAAATGTCTGCAGCATTGAAGGTCCCCAGAACACAGTGGCCTCTATCATTCTTAAATGGAAGAAGTTTGGAACCACCAAGACTCTTCCTAGAGCTGGCCGCCCGGCCAAACTGAGCAATCGGGGAGAAGGGCCTTGGTCAGGGAGGTGACCAAGAACCCGATGGTCACTGAGAGCTTTAGAGTTCCTCTGTGGAGATGGGAGAATCTTCCAGAAGGACAACCATCTCTGCAGTACTCCACCAATCAGGCCTTTATGGTAGAGTGGCCAGACGGAAGCCACTCCTCAGTAAAAAGCACACGACAGCCCACTTGGAGTTTGCCAAAAGGCACTTAAAGGACTCTCAGACCATGAGAAACAAGATTCTCTGGTCTGATGAAACTAAGATTGAACTCTATGGCCTGAATGCCAAGCGTCACGTCTGGAGGAAACTTGGCACCATCCCTACGGTGAAGCATGGTGGTGGCAGCATCATGCTGTGGGGATGTTTTTCAGTGGCAGGGACTGGGAAACTAGTCAGGATCGAGGGAAAGATGAACGGAGCAAAGTACAGAGAGATTGTTGATGAAAACCTGCTCCAGAGCGCTCAGGACCTCAGACTGGGGGCAAAGGTTCACCTTCCAACAGGACAACGACCCTAAGCACACAGCCAAGACAACACAGGAGTGGTTTCGGGACAAGTCTCTGAATGTCCTTGAGTGGCCCAGCCAGAGGCCGAACATCTCTAGAGAGACCTGAAAATAGCTGTGCAGCGACGCTCCCCATCCAACCTGACAGAGCTTGAGAGAAGAATGGGAGAAGCTCCCCAAATACAGGTGTGCCAACCTTATAGCGTCATACCCAAGAAGACTCAAGGCTGTAATCGCTGCCAAAGGTGCTTCAACAAAGTACTGAGTAAAGGGTCTGAATACTTTAGTTTTTTTTTTTTTTTTTTTTTTCTTCGGGGGGATGGATCAGCTTAATATTGCAGATAGATTGTATCTTCTATTAATGTAATTATCTGCATCACTTCCAATCCCCCATGTTTTTTTTATTTTTTATATATATATTCCCCTTTATTACTTTTCAACCCCACCATCCTTTCCCTACTTGGAGTAAATTAGTGAACAACAACGCCCAGGCCTCTACTTCCGGTCTATACTTACTATCTACACCTTATGGACAGAGTTAATTTTACAATAATTCTATATCTATATCTATATATATATATATATATATATATATATATATATTTATTTATTTTTTTGCTCCTGAACTTCTTCTACTCTCAACCTCTCCGATCATTTTCATGATGTCCATCCGGTTTGCTTCTAAATGCCATATATTTCTAACTGTGCTCTTTCCCAAAAGCTCCCAACATACAACCTATATACTTATTATGGACACAGTATGCTTACATTATTAGCTATCTTTGTTATTATTTGTTGTTATTTGTTATTAGTCCCATCCTTCAACTCTATTCAATACCTCCCATCTATCTCTTAACACCATCCATATAGGATTTCTATTTGCCATATATATTTCAACCATACTGTGATGTTTTACAAAAGTTCTGAACCTTTCTATTCTCATTGCTTCTACAGATTGTGAATTAAAAATAAACATTTTTGCTAAAAGTATTATTATATTATTGATTGATTGACTATGACTTTTCAGATCACCCAGTAATGCTATCTGCAAGGTTAGTTCCAGGTAAATATTGCAATCCTTTAGCCATTCCTGGACCTGTGTCCAAAAACAAGCTACAAATGGACAGAACCAAAACAAATGATCTAATGATTCTATCTCTTCACAGCAAAATCTGCAGAGCTGGGAAGATTGTATCCCCCATATAAATAACATTCTATTGGTAGCAAGAATTTTATATAATAATTTAAATTGAAAGATTCTAATTTTTGAATCCGGTGTCGTTTTGCGTGTCAGTTCATAAACACTATGCCATGGGATCGGTACGTCAAAGATCTCTTCCCAACTATTGTGCAATCTATATGGGACGGCTGTCAATCCTTTGGTCCTTAAGTGAAACTGATATACTTTTTTATTTATCACAGTTTTCCTTAACCAATTATGTTCTTTAATGCAAGGCCGACAGACAAGTTCCTTACTTTCTCCCCCTTCAACTTTCCTCTTCCACTTTTGCGGTAAGGCTGCAATTATTTGGTTGTAATTTTGGGTAGAGCAGACATTTCCATATGTTTTTGTTAGCTGCATGTGCGACATAACTCCACCAGTCCTACCGATGATATCATTTACGAAGATTATACCTTTTTTAAACATTCTGTCAAAAAATAAAGTTTTTTTGTCAATTAGTATATTTGAATTTAACCACAATATTTGTTGCATTATTTGTTCTGTCGTTTCTGGAGGATTAAATTGAAATTGCAACCAACTTTCTATGGCTTGTTTTAGAAATAGTGACATTTGGGAGATTATTTCCTTTTCAAATAACTGAAAGTGAGAGGTTGTAATCTGAATAAAGGGAAAAAGGCCTTTCTTGAACAGTGGGTGAGACAATCTTACTAATTTGCTTGAGAACCAGTTCGGATTTAAGTATAACTTTTGGATGACTGAAGATTTTAGTGATAGGTCTAATGCTTTAATATTTAATAATTTCTGTCCTCCGAATTCATATTCATTATATAAATATGCTCTTTTAATTTTGTCTGGCTTGCCGTTCCAAATAAAATTGAATATTTTTTTCTCATATAATTTAAAAAACTGTTTGCTAGGCGTAGGCAAGACCATAAGCAAATAGGTAAACTGGGATAATACTAAAGAGTTAATCAGGGTGATTTTCCCACAAATTGACAGGTATTTTCCTTTCCATGGTAGTAAGATCTTATCTATTTTTGCTAACTTTCTATTAAAATTTATTGAAGTGAGATCATTTATTTCCTTTGGGATATGTATTCCGAGTATATCCACATCACCATCAGACCATTTTATTGGTAAACTACATGGTAATGTAAAAATTGTATTTTTTAGTGATCCAATACGTAATATAGTACATTTGTCATAATTTGGTTTTAATCCAGAGAGGTTAGAAAATGTATCTAGATCCTCTATGAGGCTGTGGAGGGATTCTAGTTGTGGATCTAAAAGAAAACATGAATCATCTGCGTACAATGACACCTTTGTTTTTAAGCCCTGTATTTCTAATCCTCTGATATTATTATTGGATCTGATTTTAATAGCTAACATCTCGATGGCCACAATAAATAGATATGCCGATAGTGGACAACCTTGTTTCACTCCTCTTGACAGTTTGAAACTTTCTGAGAAATAGCCATTATTTACTATTTTACACCTAGGGTTACTATACATGATTTTGACCCATTTTATAAGAGATTCTCCAAAATTGAAATGCTCCAGGCATTTATATATAAATTCCAGTCGAACTTTATCAAATGCCTTTTCGAAGTCTGCTATGAATAGCAGGCCTGGTTTCCCATATTTTCCATAGTGTTCTATTGTTTCCAATACTTGCCTTATATTATCTCCAATGTATCTTCCATGTAAAAAACCTGTCTGATTAGAATGAATAATATCCGACAATACCTTTTTAATTCTATGCGCTATACATTTTGCTAGGATTTTTGCATCACAACACTGAAGTGTAAGGGGCCTCCAATTTTGTAAATGGACTGGATCTTTATATTTTCCACTTGTATCCTGTTTCAGTAATAATGAGATCAGACCTTCTTCTTGAGTGTCAGATAATCTACCATTTACATAGGAGTGGTTAAAACATGCTAATAACGGTCCTCTTAGTATATAAAAAAAGGTTTGGTATACCTCGATTGGTATGCCATCCAACCCTGGAGTTTTCCCGGACTTAAAGTCTTTAATTGCATCCAGAAGTTCCTCCTCTGTAATTTCACCTTCACATGAGTCTTTCTGTGTGGCTGTTAATTTGACATTATCAATAGGAAAAAAATCTCTACAATTAGCTTCAGTTAGAGGAGATGGAGGCGACTGAAAAGAAAACATATGCTTAAAATACTTTGTTTCTTCCTTCAAAATATCATTAGGTGAATTACTTTAATGTGATGTATTTTTTTATTTTTAATAAAGGTGAAAAACATTTTAAAAACTTGTTTTTGCTTTGTCATTATGGGGTTTTGCGTGTAGATTGACAAGGATTTTTGTTTTGTTTTTAGGGTCGGGTGAGAGCCTCAGATTTTCACTGGATCACAGTCGGGTGTTTGTGGATGTGTTATTAGCCATTGGGTGAACAAACAGCCGCGCACCACTAACACACAACCTCTGGTCTCGTTGAGTCAGTCAGTTTCTCTGCCATTCTGTCAACCTCCTTGTCGTTACCATTCAGAAGACCAGTTCAACAGAGACAGCTGGTCTAGCGGGGCAACTTTGATGGGGGTGTGGGCCACAAAAAAAATCATCATGAGGGGTCGCAGTGGCTCGTACCCCCCCCGACACACACACCTTGTGAGCAAAACATTTTAGCGGCCCCCCTCTTGACAGCACAGTTTAAACAGGGCGGCAGGTAGCTTAGTGGTTAAGAGCGTTGTGCCAGTAACCGAAAGGTCGCTGGTTCTAATCCCCGAGCCGACTAGGTGAAAAAATCTGTCGATGTGCCCTTGAGCAAGGCATTTAACCCTAATTGCTCCTGTAAGTCGCTCTGGATAAGAGCGTCTGCTAAATGATTTAAAAAATAAAAATAAATTCGAGTTCATTTGCTGCTATAATTCTACATAGCTACTGGACCAAAAATAGTTATAGACTATTAAGTCATATTTTTTGCTCTTTGCACGGAGAAAATGTTGCCCGATAACTGTCTTTATTGGAACATTGGTACTAGTTTCTCAGAGCCGCAATACGACCAATCCCAAAACTAGAGGAAGGAATTAGATGAGTAAACGTTTGATTTAATTCATGACTCATTTTCTAAATCGATTTTTACTGTTCCTCTTTAAAGACATTTTCAGGGCAGAAGACTGGGCGCTCCTCCAGCAGTACAGTCATATTGATATATTCACTTCACTTCTTTCCCTCCCTCCTCTCTCATTCCCTCCCCATCTCGCCACGCGCGCCGATAAGGACTCACCCCGCAGGACATCACTCCGCGCGCATCTCGAATCACCAAGCGGAGGAGGGCAATCCGTAGGCGAAGCCACATAACCCGAGAACGCTAATCTCTCACTCCCTCTCATTCCCTCCCTATTCCCCCTCACTCTCCCTCTCTCATTCCCTCCCTCCCTCCCTCCTCTCTCATCTCTCCTTCCCTCTCTCATCTCTCCCTCCTCTCTCCCTCCCTCTATTTTTTTATGCCTATCCCAGCCAGCATTGTGTGCCTTCAGGATGGATATGTAGGATGACTGTTGTGACAAGGGACCAAGTGGATCTGGACTGCTGAAGGTAGGTAGGAGGAGGCAAGGTCAGAGGACAAGAGGCAGATATATCTGCTCTCTGATTGGCCATTAGGTTCATATGACAGAGTCTACAATATTGACCATTAGGTTCATATGACAGAGTCTACAGTATTGACCATTAGGTTCATATGACAGAGTCTACAGTATTGACCATTAGGTTCATATGACAGAGTCTACAGTATTGACCATTAGGTTCATATGACAGAGCCTACAGTATTGCAGTGAGACTACCAGAGACTTCTTATGAAAAATAAAGAAGTTGTGGTCCTCTGTAGCTCAGCTGGTAGAGCACGGCGCTTGTAACGCCAAGGTAGTGGGTTCGATCCCCGGGACCACCCATACACAAAAATTTATGCACGCATGAATGTAAGTCGCTTTGGATAAAAGCGTCTGCTAAATGGCATATTATTATTATTATTCTAGGATGACGACTAATAAGGATATTGATCACTAAAATCACTGATAGAGAGATGGAGATTCTCCATTGAAAGTGCACCCATACGTACAAATGTATGCACACATGACTAAGTCGCATTGGATAAAAGCGTCTGCTAAATGGCATATTATTATTATTATTATCTTAGTCCAAGACTAGGTTAAATCTATGTCCAGAAAACTGGCTCAACAAGTTAAAGATGGCATACTTGGTGTTGGTGGCATGCTGGCAGGTTGTCGAGATGCACTCAAACTGCCACTCATATGCCTGCTGGAAGAGAGGCTCGGCCCAGGAGTCAGCCCTGAGAAGGAGAGGCAGGGCGATCACCGGCGTCTCATTCTGACCTGCAGGAGAGGTGACAACACAGCAGGGGTCAGGGTGAGGTCAGGGGTCAAAGGTCTGCACACTAAAAGGTCAAACCAGGTCCATCAGGAATCAATGGTATCTTATGGAATGTTTGAATTAGCTATGAAGGTAAGACATGGTTGAGATGCTCTTAACTACTAGAAGAGGTTCAGATCAGAGATACTAACTGGTGAGGGCCCAAAAAGGCGACAAAAAAAATCTGTGTTAACCGCAAGAAAATGAGAAAATCAGAGATACTAACGATGTGATATCAGGCCAAGCATCACGATAACGAGTAGTATGGTGTTACCACAGGCCTCCCGCCAAACCAGAATATAAGGAACACCAGAAAAAGAGATTGCTTTTTTTTTTTAAATTCAGATTTAGCTTCGGATTACAATGACTAGGCATATGCATCCTACCTTTGAAGCATCTCTTTCAGTAGGCCATCTATCCCATTTCTGTCTTCCTGTGCCATCCGATGTTGTTAGCTAGGTAGGCAGATAACATGACTAAACTAAAGGTAAAAAACCAAAAACGAGCGGCCTAGCAAGTACAGCCCGTGAGATGGTTTTATAAAAATTATATAAAATGAGCACCAATTAGCGGTAGAAAGTACAGTAGCTCTGGTAATATGGGGAAGGGCCTAAAACTCATATCTCCATTTGTTTAAACTTATGTAGCAGACATTACGGAAAATGAACACAGGTCTCATAAACGATCTCTCAAGCACAAGCCCACGTGCTAGTGAGTAGCCAACTGATCTTTATCTGTCAGGTTGTTTTCCATGAAAACATACATGAAATGAGTTTGAATAGAAAATATAGTAAAATGCATAGGAAATGTAATCATTGACGAGGTTAGGAATAATGATTTTAAATATAAATAATAATTGTGTCCTTCAAACTTTGTTTTCGTCAAAGAATCCTCCATTTGCAGCAATTACAGCCTTGCAGACCTTTGGCATTCTAATTGTACATTTGTTGAGGTAATCTGAAGAGATTTCACCCCATGCTTCCTGAAGCACCTCCCACAACTTGGATTGGCTTGATGGGTACTTCTTACGTACCATACGGTCAAGCTGCTCCCACAACAGCTCAATAGGGTTGAGATCCAGTGACTGTGCTGGCCACTCCATTATAGACAGAATACCAGCTGACTGCTTCTTCCCTAAATAGTTATTGCATAGTTTGGAGCTGTGCTTTGGGACATATGTTCTTCTTTGTGATCTGAACACCTCAAACTTCGATTCGTCTGTCCATAACATTCTTTTCCCAATCTTCCTCTGTCCAGTGTCTGTGTTCTTTTGTCCATCTTAATATTTTCTTTTTATTGGCCAGTCTGAGATATGGCTTTTTCTTTGCAACTCTGCCTAGAAGGTCAGCATCCCGGAGTCGCCTCTTCACTGTTGACGTTGAGACTGGTGTTTTGCGGGTAATATTTAATGAAGCTGCCAGTTGAGGACCTGTGAGGCGTCTGTTTCTCAAACTAGACACTAATGTATTTGTCCTCTTGCTCAGTTGTGCACCGGGGCCTCCCACTCCTCTTTCTATTCTGGTTAGAGCCAGTTTGTGCTGTTCTGTGAAGGGAGTAGTACACAGCGCTGTACGAGATCTTCAGTTTCTTGGCAATTTCTCACATGGAACAGCCTTCATTTCTCAGAACAAGAATAGACTGATGAGTTTCAGAAGAAAGTTATTTGTTTCTGGCCATTTTGAACCTGTAATCGAACCCACAATTCCTGATGCTCCAGATACTCAACTAGTCTCAAGAAGGCCAGTTTAATGTCTTCTTTAATCAGCACAACAGTTTTCAGCTGTGCTAACATAATTGCAAAAGGGTTTTCTAATGATCAATTAGTTTTTTTAAATGATAAACTTGGATTAGCAAACACAACATGCCATTGGAACACAGGACTGATAAGGGGCCTCTGTACGCCTATGTAGATATTCCATAAAAAATCAGCCGTTTCCAGCTACAATAGCCATTTACAACATTAACTATGTCTACACTGTATTTCTGATCAATTTGATGTTATTTTAAATGGACAAAAAAAATAGCTTTTCTTTCGAAAACAAGGACATTTCTAAGTGACCCCAAACGTTTGAACCGTAGTGCATCTGACATCACTCTGATATTCTGTTCGTAGGACGCGTAGGGATGCCTTCTGTGCTCAGTCATTAATTACGAGAGAGAAGGTAGTGATTACACAGGGAGAGGATCTGTTCACGGCTCTCCTTTATACACCCCCCCAGGGAGAAGATCTGTTCACGGCTCTCCTTTATACACCCCCCCAGGGAGAAGATCTGTTCACGGCTCTCCTTTATACACTCTACGTACTTTATTGTTAGACCCAACACCCCCCCCGCAAAGTTTTTTTCACGTGGATGACCTATTTTGAGATTTTAAAAAAACTGCAAATATCAGCGAAAAGTGTCAAACGTTCAACCTCCGTAAGATATCAATAGAGGGAAAACGCTGTGGTCCTGTACGTCTCAGTTGGTAGAGCAAGGCGCTCGCAAACGTCAGGGTTGTGGGTTTGATTCCCCGGGGGGCCAACCATTCTTAAAAAACGTACGCACGTAGGTTCTTACCCTGTTTACATTTCAGTAGGGGCTCCAGCAGTTTAAAGACGGACATCCTGACGGTCTGCATCTCAGTCCGGACCCTCTGTAACACCGCAGAGGGCACTCTGACCACACCGTCTGGAGAGAGATGAGGGAGGTGTAAACATTCTTGTAGCACAAAAAAACACTTGTTTATGACTTCTCCGGAAAGTGGCAAATGCTGTCCAATGCCAAATTGAGAGGAATACACAAGAGATCGTGCTGAAGGCAGCCGTACTGCCACAGAGCCAGAGAGTGTGCTAATACACTCATTCCGAATAGATCTTCAGCTCTCGGCTGTCAACGTTGTACATCAATTAACCTAAACCTTACTAAATAGATATGTCCACCCACCTGCGCCATTGTGTTGGTGGGCTGTGATGAGACCACAGGCCCGGTCGTATCTCTCACACAGGTCCCAGACAGGTTGACCTACGGCGGGCCTCTTGGTGGGTCGTCTGTCCCTCAGGGTGCGACAGTGGACCAGCGCTACCAGCAACGTGTCCAGCCAACACAGACTGTTCTCGTTCCTCCAGAACAGGTGAGGCCCGGGAACTGGGACCAACTCCCCCGTCGAGATCACTTCCGGGTCAAAGTCGGGCAACACTTCCTGCGTGTATTTAATAGTAGGAGTCTTTCTCGGCCGGCCCCTTTTCTTTTTCGGTGGCGGTGTCAGGACTTCCTCTTTGACGCTTCCTTCCTGTTCCTCGTCCTCGCTGCTTAGTTGCCGGGCGTTCTGAGCTCTTCTTCTAGGTCTGATAGGACAATCATCTTCATCACTCGCAACATGACCTTCATCAGGTACTTTGCTCTGACTGAGGTCCACACTGCAGGGTCTACACAACCCCTCTGGGGGGCACTCTTCCACACTGCAGGGTCTACACACCCCCTCTGGGGGGCACTCTTCCTCCTCAATCTTCTCTTCCTCGTCAAAGACAGGCAGATCCTCCTCTCCGTACTCATCTTCCTCTAAAGCAGGGACAAGCCCAACCATGGCAGGTAGAGGAACAGCCTCCGAGGACACAAGTGCAGCGACTTCTTCCTCCTTCTCCAAGGCGATTAGACCCTCCTCTTCCTTCTCAACTTTCTGTAAGACACTTAGACCATCCTTCATGCCAGGTGAAGCCTCTTCTAAGACAGTTAGAGCCTCCTGCAAGACCAGGACAGCCTCCATGGTAGGGACAGCCTCCCCTGGGGCAGGTAGAGTCTCCTCTAGCAGAGACACAGCCTCCTGCAAGGCAGACACAGACATGACTGGAGCAGACACAACCTTCTCTGGAGCAGACACAACCTTCTCTGGAGCAGACACAACCTTCTCTGGTGCAGACACAACCTTCTCTGGAGCAGACACAACCTTCTCTGGTGCAGACACAGACATGACTGGAGCAGACACAACCTTCTCTGGAGCAGACACAACCTTCTCTGGTGCAGACACAACCTTCTCTGGAGCAGACACAACCTTCTCTGGAGCAGACACAACCTTCTCTGGTGCAGACACAGACATGACTGGAGCAGACACAACCTTCTCTGGTGCAGACACAACCTTCTCTGGTGCAGACACAACCTTCTCTGGAGCAGACACAACCTTCTCTGGAGCAGACACAACCTTCTCTGGAGCAGACACAACCTTCTCTGGTGCAGACACAACCTTCTCTGGAGCAGACACAACCTTCTCTGGAGCAGACACAACCTTCTCTGGTGCAGACACAACCTTCTCTGGTGCAGACACAACCTTCTCTGGAGCAGACACAACCTTCTCTGGAGCAGACACAACCTTCTCTGGTGCAGACACAGACATGACTGGAGCAGACACAACCTTCTCTGGAGCAGACACAACCTTCTCTGGAGCAGACACAACCTTCTCTGGTGCAGACACAGTCCTTTGTAAGGGAGGGTTAACCTTCTGATGTGCTGGTGTAGCTTCCCCTGGGGCAGTCAGAGCCTCTAGGAGAGAGACTGTGTCATGTAAAGTAGGGGCAGTTACCCGTGGAGCCAAGGCTTTCTCTGGGGCAGTTACCCGTGGAGTCAAGGCTTTCTCTGGGGCAGTTACCCGTGGAGTCAAGGCTTTCTCTGGGGCAGTTACCCGTGGAGCCAAGGCTTTCTCTGGGGCAGTTACCCGTGGAGCCAAGGCTTTCTCTGGGGCAGTTACCCGTGGAGCCAAGGCTTTCTCTGGGGCAGCCACATCCTTCTTTGAGGCAGAAACAGCCACGTGTAAGGGAGGTGAAATCTTCTCTGGGGTTGAAACGGCTACCTGAGGGACAGATAAAGTCTTCTCTAGGGCAAATACAGCCTCCGCTAAGGGACAGATAACCTTAACATCCGTAGGTACAGTCTTCTCTGGGAGAGGCAAACCCTTGTCTAAGGTAGGTGTACCCTCCTCTGGGAGAAAGACACTATCTTCTCCCTCTTCTAGTACTTTCTGGTCCATTTCCTCTGGGATCGGCCAATCGGAATCCTTGTGGTATCCATTGGCCCCTCCCCTCTCAGGAAGTGGATAGTTGAGGGTTCTATCCACCTCCTCCATGTCTGTGGGTTCTGATTGGCTGATTATCTCCTTCTGTACTGGCGTTGTGTGCTTCGTCCTATTAGAGCAGTCTTCCCCATTGAGTTTGGTGGTGGTGATCCTGATGACTGGGTGAATCCCATTCTGTGATACGGCCTCCTCTGATTGTGCACGTTTGCGGGAAGGTACAGGGTGTCCATTCTCCAACCCGCAGGGGCTCTTCCTCTTGCTCCCCGTCTGTGGTTGGGCTAGAGGGGGTACGAGGCTGGCCAGGACATCCTCCAAAGGCCTGGAGACCAAGGGAAACAGGCACTGTGGGGGAGAGGGGCAGAGATTATTTAGATGTATTGGTTTATTTAAACAAGGCTAGTCAATTAAGAACAAATTCTTATTTACGACCTGGCAAGAACCGGAGCTGAACAAATAAATTATTATTATGGTAACTGTCTGGGAAGTTGAAACTTCACATTGACTTCATATTGTTTCTTCAACCTAGTACTTGTATTCAGTCTTTCTTTGAAGGTGATGCCCAGGACAACGCTACAGGACAACGCTCACCTTCTACAAAGTAGGACAGCGAAAGGATACTTCAGCACAGTGTCTGACTGCATTTACTACCAACAGTAACACAGAAATCAGACATGCCTTGAGTCTCTCCTAATACTGCCACTCTGCCGGACAACAAAGCCCACCCAGTCACAGGACAAGACGCTGAAATCATGTTTCTTTAAGAAACTACTAAAGCTTCTTTGATCCTCACCTCATTGATCCCGCTTTGTGAAATACCCACTGTTTTTGTTGATGTTGCGCTTATTGTGTGTGTGTATATACACACGTGTGTTAACATTACCCTACCTGTGGGTCAGTGCAGAGGGTGACGAATTCCTGGACGTTGATCCTGTAGGAACGCAGGGCCCGAGTCTGTCCCTTAGCAGCACACCATGGACAGGTCTCCAACGAGGCTGAGCGCTCCTGGATCTGCAGGGACCAATCATTATGACAACACAGAACATGTTAATAGCCTGATAGATATCAAGAGAGGGGAGGGTCTAGTCACCTAGGAGAGTCCACATACAGTAATGCATCACAGAGCACCGTACAGTATCATTGAGTACAGTTGAGTGTCGTACAGTAATAATTGAGTAACATGGAATATCATTCAATATCTTTCAAATATATAATTGAGTGCCTTGGTGTATCACCGAGTATCGAATACAGTATCATTGAGTATAAGCGATTTAGAGAGTATCTCAATGTCATATAGTACACTGGAGTATCAGGTCAGAGTACACAGGATCATTGAGTGTTATAGTGAGTATCAAAGTATCAGAGCTGAATATTACAGAGTCCAGTCCAATCATAATGAAGTCAATTGATTTGAGTAGGAGTTTACAGGGACATGCATTGTACTAGGCGGCATATCAATTGATATAACCCTCAAAAACATCCACACAAAACGTTTCGCCTTTTGAAAGCAAAGATTTCCAATTTTCATTGAGTTTCTTTAGTTGAATTTTGATGTGGGTTACAATAAGGTGATTCTACCCAACAGAACTCCTTAAACCCAAAATAGCTTTGCACAAGTGACAGCAGTAAGTGAGAGGAGAGGAGGACATAGTGAGTTCAACTGACATTTTCCCAATACCCTGCAAGTGGGCCCTGGGCCCCCAAACCAATGCCTTCGCAACTCATCACAGGCAAATCTGCTTTTCCTCGTTGTTGTTGTTGTGTCCAGTGCTGTCTGTGTCCGGCGCCATTCACTATACATTACCATAACACTGTGACCAACCAGGCTCACCACCTCCGCATGAAGGGCTACATGGGGGGGGGACAGCACATTGGCAAAGTTAAACGTAGAAAAACGTTGGCATTACGTTTGGATCGCAAGCTAATGGCTTAACGTTAGCTACGTCCACAATTGTTCATAATAGTGTCGAAAATACAGTTAATATGATCATACAGGGATTCAATGCTGCTGTGATACCGTATGAAACTCAAACACAAAAATACCAACGTTAGCTAGCTTGCTAACCTAACGTGGTGGTGGATAGCTAGCTTGTTAGCAATGCAAGCTAACGTTAGCTAGCTACCGAGTAGTTTGACAATGCGCTGGACCTCAAACCTGGCTATTATTTTACCTACCATGCTAAAGAGCATACTCTATCCAATTTTAGAGACGAATATGATCACAATAATCCATCTGAAATCATTTCATTCATTAACTCCTGCCGGTGGTGTGTGTTTCCATGCGTAACCCTCTTTCGTGGTCGAAACGTTCTGTTTCCGGTTAGGGGCTTTGCAACCGGTTGTGTAGCAAAGTTTACCTTCCCCCTTCGAACGAGGAAACAAGCCGTTGGTGTACCGCCTCCCACTGACCAGACAAAGGTATTACACCTCATTGTCTATAATGGTACAGTTTGATTCAAATCGAGAAGAACAGCAGATTCAAGTAGCTGCGACACACAGACACTGTGAAGGCCTAGAGGTCTGAAAAATGCATGTTCGGCTAGCCAGCCGGTAATGTAGCCTAGAGTCCTACTGACTTGACTGGTGTGATGAGGACTTTTCATTTAATAATAATAACAATTAAGAAATCCAATCAATGTAATATATTTGAAGATAATATAAGATTAGATGCTTATAAAAAGGTGAATAATTGCTGTATTAGTACTAATACTAATAATTGCTGTACTAATATTCTAAAGGAGTGAACTGTTAAAAAAAAGAAGAGTAAAATGCAACTATGTCATCATTTGTTATCCACATTTAGTTCAGTGTCTCTTTCTGATTTGAATTTACAGGAGGATAAACATTAAACAGACAGGGGGTATGGGGGTTCTTTGGGGTACGGGGGTTTTGGGGTACAGAGGCGAGAGGGCGGGGCGTTGAGGGTACCCATACCGCCCCTGCTACAAATACAAATATCTGAAAAACAATACCCTCTTCATTTATAGCTCAGTGCGCCTGTCTCTCCTCCCCCCACATCCCCTTCTCCTGTCTCTCCTTTATGCCTCCCACCCCTTTCCCTCTTTTCCCAGGCTGTACCCCCCATACCTCTCCCCTTGTTTCCTCTGTGGTGCCACATAAACACGCACACACTCCGACACCCCTTCTTCCAGCCCCTCCTTTATGCACCGCTGCTGTCCTTTAGTTTTCTCTTCTGATGACAAATGAATTTGCATATTTATTCCCCAGAGAGGCTCATTAGAATGCATAGATACACTGGTGTTGAACTCTCCCCTCCCCTCCTCGTCCCTCCCTCTCCTGAGATCTCTCCCTCCTCCGCCTCACTCTACCTACGCCACCCCTCCAAGCTCCCATCCTCTATCTCCAATCCCCCTCTCTCTCGTTCATCCTGTCCCTCCAGGACGCTAGCCGTACCCAGGAGGACCTACCCAACCCCTCTCACCTCCTCGGCGCTAGACATCCATCCCCTCTACTCTCCCCACGCTCTCTCTCCCACCCTCCTCTCCTCCCCTCCCCTCTCCCATCCTCTTCTCTCCCCTCCTCTCCTCCCCTGTCCTCTCCTCTTCTCGCCTCCCTGTGCTTCATGGACAGGCTGTCTGACTTTCTGTCATTATGCTACAAGTACTACTGCTTCTGCTGCCACACGGGACAGATGACAGTATAACAGCTAGACAGAGACAAATGGGGCTCTGGATATAAGTTGCCCTTAGGCACAGATCTGGGTTCAGTTTCTGCTCCCTGAATCCTAATCGTAGATATGAGGGGTAGAATTGCTACACTGATGGTAGATTAGAGTCCCTTTGTTTCAAAGATGTGACTGTGACATGTCCCCTTCCCAAATTTTAGGTATCATCAATTGCTTCCCCTTTATTTTTTATAGCACTGTGCTAGAATGTATTCCTATGGCAAAATCTGATAGGTGCCACAATCAGTGTCTCCCTTTCATTGTTCTGTAGGTCTAAGGGTACCAATCCTACCTCCAAAGACAATGGAGACATTTGATATACAGTGGCTTGCAAAGGTATTCACCGCCCTTGGCATTTTTCCTATTTTGTTGCCTTACAACCTGGAATTAAAATTGATTTTGGGGGGGGGGGGGGGGTTGTATCATTTGATTTACACAACACTTTGAAGATGCAAAATATTTTTTATTGTGAAACAAACAAGAAATAAGACAAAAAAACAGAACTTGAGTGTGCATAACTTTTCACCCCCCCAAAGTCAATGATTTGTAGAGCCACCTTTTGCTGCAAGGGCATCCCATAGGGCGGCGCACAGCGTCGTCCGGGTTTGGCCGGTGTAGGCCGTCATTGTAAATAAGAATTTGTTCTTAACTGACTTGCCTAGTAAAATAAAGGTAAAATAAAAAAATTAAAAAGTATCTTGGGGTATGTCTCTATAAGCTTGGCACATCTAGCCATTGGGATTGTTGCCCATTCTTCAAGGAAAAAACTGCTCCAGCTCCTTCAAGTTGGATGGATTCCGCTGGTGTACAGCAATCTTTAAGTCATACCACAGATTCTCAATTGGATTGAGGTCTGGGCTTTGACTAGGCCATTCCAAGACATTTAAATGTTTCCCCTTAAACCACTCAAGTGTTGCTTTAGCAGTATGTTTAGGGTCATTGCCCTGCTGGAAGGTGAACCTCCATCCCAGTCTCAAATCTCTGGAAGACTGAAACAGGTTTCCCTCAAGAATTTCCATGTATTTAGCGCCATCCATCATTCCTTCAATTCTGACCAGTTTTCCAGTCCCTGCCGATGAAAAACATACCCACAGAATGATGCTGCCACCACCATGCTTCACTGTGGGGATGGTGTTCACGGGGTGATGAGAGATGTTGGGTTTGCACCAGACATAGCGTTTTCCTTGATGGCCAAAAAGCTCAATTTTAGTCTCATCTGACCAGAGTACTTTCTTCCATATGTTTGGGGAGTCTCCCACATGCCTTTTGGTAAACACCAAACGTGTTTGCTTATTTTTTTCTTGAAGCAATGGCATTTTTCTGGCCACTCTTCCGTAAAGCCCAGCTCTGTGGAGTGTACAGCTTAAAGTGGTCCTATGGACCGATACTCCAATCTCCGCTGTGGAGCTTCGCAGCTCCTTCAGGGTTATCTTTGGTCTCTTTGTTGCCTCTCTGATTAATGCCCTCCTTGCCTGGTCCGTGAGTTTTGGTGGGCGGCCCTCTCTTGGCAGGTTTGTTGTGGTGCCATATTCTTTACCTTTTTTAATAATAGATTTAATGGTGCTCTGTGGGATGTTCAAAGTTTTTGATATTTTTTTATAACCCAACCCTTTTTTTTGGTCATTTCGCAGATGCTCTTATCCAGAGCGACTTACAGGAGCAATTAGGGTTAAGTGCCTTGCTCAAGGGCACATCGACAGATTTTTCACCTAGTCAGCTCGGGGATTAGAACATTGTGACCTTGCGGTTACTGGCACAACACCATCAACCACTAAGCTACCTGCCACCTACTTCTCCACAACTTTGTCCCTGACCTGTTTGGAGAGCTCCTTGGTCTTCATGGTGCCGCTTGCTTGGTGGTGTTGCAGATCATGTGACACTTAGATTGCACACAGGTGGACTTCATTTAACTAATTATGTGACTTCTGAAGGTAATTGGTTGCGCCAGATCTTATTTAGGGGCTTCATAGCAAAGGGGGTGAATACATATGAAACGCACCAGTTTTTCGTTATTTATTTTTTAGAATTCTTTGAAACAAGTTAGTTTTTTCATTTCACTTCACCAATTTGGACTATTTTGTGTATGTCCATTACATGAAATCCAAATAAAAATCCATTTCAATTACAGGTTGTAATGCAACAATAGTTAAAACGCCAAGGGGGATGAATACTTTTGCAAGGCGCCGTAACTGCGGGCAACAATAATGTGCATACAGCCCCTGGTGAATATAAAGCAGGATTCCTTACTGATACTTTATAATAATATGCCATTTAGCAGACGCTTTTATCCAAAGCGACTTACAGTCGTGCGTGCATACATTTTTTGTGTATGGGTGGTCCCGGGGATCGAACCCACTACCTTGGCGTTACAAGCGCCGTGCTCTACCAGCTGAGCTACAGAGGACCACTTTGATTGATTGATTGATTGTAGCAGTACACTGTAAATCAAGGGTTAAGATGATGATGCCAACAAAGGTGACTAACAAACAGCAAATTAGTATCAGAATGTGGAAGGAAAGTAGCATCATCATCATCACCATCACCATTTGTTTGGGTTGGGGTCCCACAGATAACATATGAACATGTCATAAGCCATTTCTTTTGGTTGGAATTACAGGAAATTAGCTTTAAAACTGCTTGCTCTACTGGTATGATGATGATGATGATGATGATAATTGATTTGATGATGAATTTGAGCTTGAGGGACTAAGGAATGAGAAAACCATCACTGTCCCATTCACTGTGATATAAAGGGCATGGAATATAGTGCTATCTACAAGGGTCCTAAATCTAAAACTTTGTCAAAAATCTAAATATTATTATATTTCTAACGACATATGATTGTTTTTATTTAACTTTTAAGTTAGGCTTCAATCAATGCATGGCTTGACCTTATACGTGTGAATTGAATGCGCATGTGTGGGCCTATGGAACGCAACACAGATCTATTCATAGGAGCGCGAGCGGAACATACATGCATGTGTCAGCGCGTTGACCTCAAAGTTATTCTAGCAGGTCTCCCGCGATGCACTTGCTTGTATCCTAATGCATGTATCCCAAAGGTTTAGCCTTTAACTACATTCTAACAAAACGTACAGTTACAATAGCAGAAAATAACCGTACAAAGTAACTGTTCCGAGTCAGAGCTGTAGCCTATAAAAGCGCGTCTCGCCGCTTCATATAACCAGAACAGCGCACATAAAACGGATTGTTCTGTTTGTGGTCATGAGGACTGTAGTGAGGACAGATAGAATAGAAAAATAAATGGTCTTAAAATTACTTATCTACTTGTAGTTTTATTAGGCTACGGTTTTCATTAAACCTCATTCTATTCTTAAGGCGCTCCCTCTGATATCAATATAAGCTACCACATTAGATTATACAGTGTGATGAACATTTGTTAAATCATCTTGTACTTCTCTTAAACACTCACTAATAACATTATAAACACCGTCTCCTATCGAAAAGAATAGCCTCGTTGCTTAATACTGTCTCATTATACTGTTATTGATACATCTGCATTGATAGTGTATACTATGTCATTCATTGGTTAATTACAAATGCCAAATTATCTCAAATTCCTTCTACATTATATAATGTATCATCCTACCAAGAGGTCCCTCAAACACTTTTCTATTATTCATATTTAAAAACCCACCATCCTAATATTTTATTAACAAAGTCATAATTTGCTAATACAGCTTAACATAGGATGGTGTGAATAGTCAATGGTTGTGCTTGATGATGGGGGGGGGGGGGAACTGCCCACCTACACCTTGTCCCATTCACTTTAGCACTCTGCAGCTCACTAGAACGCTCCGCGTTGTCCCATTCATTTGCTCCACGGTGTTTCAACACACAGAACTCAATACCATGGCAAACACTCTACAATATCTAGCAAGGGCTGCGCGTCCCCAAGCTCAGCACCAGCAAAATGTTCGTATCACCGCGCCATTTACAACTCTGGTGACGTTTCACAATAGGTAGCCAATGGCGCATCGTCTGATATTAGGACAATGAAAAGGTTCTATCCTATCAGACGGGCGATAGACTTGGCGGTAGCCAATGGGGGGCGAGCTCCACCGAGAGTAATGTTACAGAAGCGACAAGACACTGCGTATCGCATTCGCTGGTGTTCCACATACAGCCATTGCAGTGCATTGAGATACAAGCGGCAGCCTTTGGTAAGTATCACGCACGAAAAAAAAAAATTATGAAAGTGTCGGTAAGGATGAAAATGACAAGAAAATTCAGAAATACCTCTGAAATGTATTGACCAATGTTTGAATATTAGGTTGGCAAAAATGTTGTGATTTTTCATTCGAAGGAACCGTCAAAATACAATAAATCTGCCAGCGAAGCACAGTATTAGTCGCTCGTTGAAAAAAGGCGAAAACTAAAATAATCAGTTGAATTTCACACAAAAAAATTGCATTAAAAAAATAATGTATTTTATTAATTAATATCAGGTAAGTGTTGCAGTGTTATTAGAAAATGAGGTGTATTTACCGAGTTAAAAATCAGTAATGTTCAGCGGACAGCTGGCTAGCTAGGTAGAACATGAGACTTGCGCCCATTGCTAGCCATTGCAGTGTATTGAGAGGCTGGGATGCCTGTCATGTGAAGATGAAACCGTGGGGAAAATTGACAATGAAAATATAGAAAACATTGAGAAAGAAATTTGCTCTGAAAACTGTATCTGTTCATAGTTATTTTTCACAAATTGCCTCATAATAGGGTGAGAAATTACCTCAGGAATCTGCGCTTTACTGTAATGGCTGACTACTCGCATAGGAAACAAGGCAGACAGTAACGGAGGAGCCAGCCTTACAATTGCAGTTCAAGTCAACTTTTTCAAACCGTGATTTATCACCAACCATGTGTCTAACTGTAAAATCTAAAGATGGAAAATTAAAGTACCATCTATCCTTGTTCCAACGACAGTCTTTTTGTATTTTTCCGTTGAAATTAAAGGGTTGAAATCGCAGATTGAAAAGAGGTGGGTACCCGCGGTCGCTCTGCCCTCTACTGCATGCAATGGCTGTGCATTGACACAAAGAGAAGGAGCCATATTCTCCATGTTAGTGGATGAAGACAAGCGGCCATTCCGAGCTCATAGGAATCCTAACTCAACACGGCCCGCACATAGACATAGCACAGACCCAGTGTATTGCTATACACCACGGCTATTGCAATAGGAATCTACCGGGGAAAAATATTGTCAGGCTGGCGGGCTTTGTCAACGTATTTGTCGATTTAAAAAGCGATCGGGAATGCGGGTGGAGACATTTCAGGGCGACTTTCTTTCATGAAGAAGGCTTTCTCACAAAATGGAAGAAGAAATATTGCCGTCGTTGTTGACCTCCTTTTTCCTCAACGAGAAGGCTATGCGCCATTACTACTTCACTCGACAGATAGAAATGCATTGCTTTGCTACAACACAGATATACAGCCATACCAGCTATATAATAGGGAATTTGAGGAGATTTTTTCCAATTTTTATATTTTTTTCCCAATGTTGCTGAATCGAATTTAGATCGATATTGAAACATATTTTGACGTTATTTTGTGGTTTTATGGGTCTTTTTTTATAGATTTTTCGGGTTTTGTTTTTCTACGGAATAGGTTTCTGTAGAGTTAGCTAAATGCACTATTATCATTTTAACATTATACACGAATTCATCAGAAACGTGGTGATATATGTATTTCTCATTTTCTTTCCGATTTAGTTCGTGAAATAGTGAAAAACGTATAATCTTTACATATGTCTGAAGAGTATCCCATGTTCTGCACTTGAACTTCACAAAGTTTGAAGATCGATTTTTTCTTCTTCTATAATGAGAACTTCTGTAACGCCAATGATCGATTGACAGGCACTCTGCATGAACAAAAAACCTCACAAATATGACGTGACTAACATAAGACTGTACAAAATACATGAAAATAGTTTTTTAAAATTATTATTATTATTTTTTTTTTTTACATTTCTCATGATTTGACCAGTAAAGGTAACGGCTGTGTTTTCAGCAAAGGGCACATTCCGTGTGACAGTCAGTAAACGTTCCTCGAGACAGGGTTTGTTTCCCCAAACTTATTTTCTAGCAAACACACAGAACCTGACATGTTTATTCACTGAGGGCTGCGTTTACAGTTCTGATGCCAAGAGGAAGGGAAGGAAACAGTCTGGAGTGCAGCCTGATGGGGGTAGGGGGGGAAACCCAAATGATAGAAAATAAATAAATAATCCAAATAAAAAAAAGGACTAATATTGAATATGTTTTCAACCCCTTTGTCAAAGCAAATCTAATAACTCAGATGCAACAAATATTTGTAACAAGTTTGAGAAAAGGCTTCCACCTGTGTGCAATATACAACTGTCTCTGTGAGGGCCCTCCTCAGGTAGCGAATTTCAACCATAGCTTCAATCATGAAGCGCAAAGAGCTTTCAGAAGAGTTCAGGGATAAAGTTGTAGATCGATACAGACTAGGGGTAGGTTATAAGAAAATGTCCTATACATTGAGGACAGTCAAGCCAATCATTAAGAAGTGGAAGGTGTATGGAAGACTCTTACCGGATCAAGATGGCCTTCCAAAATAACCCGTTGGGATGAAAATATTCTAGCTCTAGAACTCACTTTGAAAGCGCTGCAGAGTTCCATGGCTGAGATGGGGTGAAAATGTCCACGAATCAACAATAGCGCGATCATTCGCCAACTGTAGCCGGTACGGCCAATCGGAAAGAAGGTCATTACAGAAAACAAAGACCGATCTCCAATCACGTGCTGAGTTTGCGTAAAAGCATTTAGGTGACATTTCAAAATATATGTTTTTTTAGTCAGAAAATACTGAATAGAATGTGACTCATAATGTAAATGTTTTTATGTTTTTAACTTTTTCTTTGCTAACTTCTAAAACATTCTCTCTTGTCTCTTTTAGATACCGATATCGAGATGGGGAAAGATCCAACGAAACCGAGGGGCAAGATGTCCTCCTATGCCTACTTTGTCCAGACCTGTCGGGAGGAGCACAAGAAGAAGCACCCAGAAGCTTCCGTCAACTTCTCCGAGTTCTCCAAGAAGTGCTCTGAGAGATGGAAGGTAAGTATGGAACACATCTCAGCTGTGACTGACTGACTGACCAAATTCCCTATATAGTGCACTACTTTTGATTTATTCCCTATATGGTACACTACTTTTAAACTAGAACCCTATGGGCCCTGGTTGAAAGTAGTGCACTAAATAGGGAATAGTGTGCCAAAAGTAGAGCACTATATAGGGAATAGGGTGCCATTTGGGACTCAGGTCCTTTAGTTGACACTGTCCTGTACCACTCGCAATCCCTTGATAGCTGTCTGCGGTACAAGATAATTTCAAATGAACTGTGTCACAGCTAAGTTGTTCCATACTTATCTGCCACCCCTTGCATATCATTCTTTTGTTTACGTTGTCTTCCTCTGTGTAGCACCGACCTGACACACACAACTATTGACATCTTATCACAAGTGTTTTCTACATGTACTTACTGGCCTCTGAACACTTCCTTCTTCTCTCAGACCATGTCCGCCAAGGAGAAGGGGAAGTTTGAGGATCTGGCCAAGCTGGACAAGGTGCGCTATGAGAGGGAGATGAGGAGCTACATTCCTCCCAAGGGAGAGAAGAAGAAGAGGTTTAAGGACCCCAACGCCCCCAAGAGACCATCGTGAGTACTGCCTGACAGAAAAAGCCCCCCCCCCTTTCCAAAACTCAAATCTCACAGATAATGTGCAGAGATTCAACTCCGGATGTCCATGTGAATCTGTAAATCATGTCTAAAGTAAGTTATGAAACAATTCCTATTATAAAAGAATGAACAATAACCCTACAGTTCAATAAGACAAGTACTGCATTTAAAGCATCCATTTAACACTAAAACAAACATAAATGTTTCCCATGTTTTGTCACCAAAAATCAATTCATGATAACCGAACAAAACCAGTGACCCTCCTGTTTCCTCCTTCCACCCATTTCTACTCCTTTCTTCCTCATCTCCCATCCTCCAGGTCTGCGTTCTTCATCTTCTGTGCTGACTTCCGACCCCAGGTGAAGGGGGAGACCCCGGGCCTGTCTATCGGTGATGTGGCCAAGAAGCTGGGAGAGAAGTGGAATAACCTAACAGCGGAGGACAAGGTGCCCTATGAGAAGAAGGCTGCCAAGCTGAAGGAGAAGTACGAGAAGGTAAAACAAACATCAGCCCTTTTGTTCCTTTATTTAGATCCCTGTTAGCTGTTAGATGGATGTCCTCTTAGTCATCAGGGCCTAACAATACAAGTTACCACTAGTCATGCATTGAAGTTATTACCACTAGTCATGCATTGAAGTTATTACCACTAGTCATGCATTGAAGTTATTACCACTAGTCATGCATTGAAGTTATTACCACTAGTCATGCATTGAAGTTATTACCACTAGTCATGCATTGAAGTTATTACCACTAGTCATGCATTGAAGTTATTACCACTAGTCATGCATTGAAGTTATTACCACTAGTCATGCATTGAAGTTATTACCATTAGTCATGCATTGAAGTTATTACCACTAGTCATGCATTGAAGTTATTACCACTAGTCATGCATTGAAGTTATTACCACTAGTCATGCATTGACGTTATTACCACTAGTCATGCATTGAAGTTATTACCACTAGTCATGCATTGAAGTTATTACCACTAGTCATGCATTGAAGTTATTACCACTAGTCATGCATTGAAGTTATTACCACTAGTCATGCATTGAAGTTATTACCACTAGTCATGCATTGAAGTTATTACCACTAGTCATGCATTGAAGTTATTACAACTAGTCATGCATTGAAGTTATTACCACTAGTCATGCATTGAAGTTATTACCACTAGTCATGTATTGAAGTTATTACCACTAGTCATGCATTGAAGTTATTACCACTAGTCATGCATTTAAGTTATTACCACTAGTCATGCATTGAAGTTAATACCACTAGTCATGCATTGAAGTTATTACCATTAGTCATGCATTTAAGTTATTACCACTAGTCATGCATTTAAGTTATTACCACTAGTCATGCATAGCCTAACAATTCAAGTTATTAACACTAGTCATGCATAGCCTAACAATTCAAGTTAACACTGGTCATGCATAACCTAACAATTCAAGTTATTACCACTAGTCATGCATAGCCTAACAATTCAAGTTATTAACACTAGTCATGCATAGCCTAACAATTCAAGTTAACACTGGTCATGCATAGCCTAACAATTCATGTTACCACTAGTCATGCATAGGCTAACGATTCAAGTTATTACCACAAGTCAAGTATATCCTAACTATTCAAGTTATTACCACTAGTCATGCATAGCCTAACAATTCCAGTTATTAACACTAGTCATGCATAATCTAACAATTCAAGTTATTAACACTAGATATGGATAGCCTAACAATTCAATTTATTACCACTAGTCATGCATAGCCTAACAATTCAAGTTATTACCACTAGACATGCATAGCCTAACAATTCAAGTTATTACCACTAGTCATGCATAGCCTAACAATTCAAGTTATTACCACTAGTCATGCATAGCCTAATAACTCAAGTTAACACTAGTCATGCATATCCTAACAATTCAAGTTATTACCACTAGTCATGCATAGCCTAACAATTCATGTTATTACCACTAGTCATGCATAGCCTAACAATTCAAGTTAACACTAGTCATGCATAGCCTAATAATTCAAGTTATTACCACTAGTCATGCATAGCCTAACAATTCAAGTTATTACCACTAGTCATGCATAGCCTAACAATTGAAGTTAACAATAGTCATTCATAGCCTAACAATTCAAGTTATTACCACTAGTCATGCATAGCCTAACATTTCATGTTACCACTAGTCATGCATAGCCTAACAATTCAAGGTAACATTGGTCATGTATTGCCTAACAATTCAAGTTATTACCACCAGTCATGCATATCCTAACTATTCAAGTTATTACCACTAGTCATGCATAGCCTAACAATTGAAGTTAACAATAGTCATTCATAGCCTAACAATTCAAGTTATTACCACTAGTCATGCATAGCCTAACATTTCATGTTATCACTGGTCATGCATAGCCTAACAATTCAAGTTAAAAATAGTCATGCATAGCCTAACAATTCATGTTACCACTAGTCATGTATAGCCTAACAATTCAAGTTATTACCACTAGTCATGCATAGCGTAACAATTCAAGTTATTACCACAAGTCATGTATATCCTAACTATTCAAGTTATTACCACTAGTCATGTATAGCCTAACAATTCAAGTTATTACCACTAGTCATGCATAGCCTAACAATTCGTGTTACTTCTAGTCATGCATAGCATAACAATTCAAGTTATTACAACTAGTCATGCATAGCCTAACAATTCCAGTTAACACTAGTAATGCATAGCCTAACAAATCAAGTTAACAATAGTCATGCATATCCTAACAATTTGAGTTAACACTAGTCATGCATAGCCTAACAATTCGAGTTAACACTAGTCATGCATAGCCTAACAATTCAAGTTATTACCACTAGTCATGCATAGCCTAACAATTCAAGTTATTACTACTAGTCATGCATAGCCTAACAATTCAAGTTACCACTAGTCATGCATAGCCTAACAATTCAAGTTAACAATTGTCATGCAAATCCTAACAAATCAAGTTATTACCACTAGTCATGCATAGCCTAACAATTCAAGTTATTAACACTAGTCATGCATAGCTTAACATTTCAAGTTATTAACACTAGTCATGCATAGCCTAACAATTCAAGTTAACACTAGTCATGCATAGCCTAATAATTCAAGTTATTACCACTAGTCATGCATAGCCTAACAATTCAAGTTATTACCACTAGTCATGCATAGCCTAACAATTCAAGTTATTACTACTAGTCATGCATAGCCTAACAATTCAAGTTACCACTAGTCATGCATAGCCTAACAATTCAAGTTAACAATTGTCATGCAAATCCTAACAAATCAAGTTATTACCACTAGTCATGCATAGCCTAACAATTGAAGTTAACAATAGTCATTCATAGCCTAACAATTCAAGTTATTACCACTAGTCATGCATAGCCTAACATTTCATGTTATCACTGGTCATGCATAGCCTAACAATTCAAGTTAAAAATAGTCATGCATAGCCTAATAATTCATGTTACCACTAGTCATGTATAGCCTAACAATTCAAGTTATTACCACTAGTCATGCATAGCGTAACAATTCAAGTTATTACCACAAGTCATGTATATCCTAACTATTCAAGTTATTACCACTAGTCATGTATAGCCTAACAATTCAAGTTATTACCACTAGTCATGCATAGCCTAACAATTCGTGTTACTTCTAGTCATGCATAGCATAACAATTCAAGTTATTACAACTAGTCATGCATAGCCTAACAATTCCAGTTAACACTAGTAATGCATAGCCTAACAATTCGAGTTAACACTAGTAATGCATAGCCTAACAAATCAAGTTAACAATAGTCAGGCATATCCTAACAATTCGAGTTAACACTAGTCATGCATAGCCTAACAATTCGAGTTAACACTAGTCATGCATAGCCTAACAATTCAAGTTATTACCACTAGTCATGCATATCCTAACAATTCAAGTTATTACCACTAGTCATGCATAGGCTAACAATTCATGTTACCACTAGTCATGCATAGCCTAACAATTCAAGGTATTACTACTAGTCTTGCATAGCCTAACAATTCAAGTTAACACTAGTCATGCATATCCTAACAATTCAAGTTATTACCACTAGTCATGCATAGCCTAACAATTCAAGTTATTACCACTAGTCATGCATAGCCTAACAATTCAAGTTAACACTAGTCATGCATAGCCTAACAATTCAAGTTATTACCACTAGTCATGCATAGCCTAACTTAGTCATGCATAGCCTAACAATTCAAGTTATTACCACTAGTCATGCATAGCCTAACAATTCATGTTATCACTAGTCATGCATAACCTAACAATTCAAGTTAACAATAGTCATGCATAGCCTAACATTTCTAGTTATTACCACTAGTCATGCATAGCCTAACAATTCAAGTTATTACCACAAGTCATGCATATCCTAACAATTCAAGTTATTACCACTAGTCATGCATAGCCTAACAATTCATGTTACCACTAGTCATGCATAGCCTAACAATTCAAGTTAACACTAGACATGCATATCCTAACAATTCAAGTTATTACCACTAGTCATGCATAGCCTAACAATTCAAGTTATTACCACTAGTCATGCATAGCCTAACAATTCAAGTTAACACTAGTCATGCATAGCCTAACAATTCAAGTTATTACCACTAGTCATGCATAGCCTAACTTAGTCATGCATAGCCTAACAATTCATGTTACCACTAGTCATGCATAGCCTAACAATTCAAGTTAACACTAGACATGCATATCCTAACAATTCAAGTTATTACCACTAGTCATGCATAGCCTAACAATTCAAGTTATTACCACTAGTCATGCATAGCCTAACAATTCAAGTTAACACTAGTCATGCATAGCCTAACAATTCAAGTTATTACCACTAGTCATGCATAGCCTAACTTAGTCATGCATAGCCTAACAATTCAAGTTAACAATAGTCATTCATAGCCTAACAATTCAAGTTAACACTAGTCATGCATAGCCTAACAATTCAAGTTAACACTGGTCATGCATAGCCTAACAATTCAAGTTATTACCACTAGTCATGCATAGCCTAACAATTCATGTTATCACTAGTCATGCATAACCTAACAATTCAAGTTAACAATAGTCATGTATATCCTAACTATTCAAGTTATTACCACTAGTCATGCATAGCCTAACAATTCAAGTTATTACCACTAGTCATGCATAGCCTAACAATTCATGTTACCTCTAGTCATGCATAGCATAACAATTCAAGTTATTACAACTAGTCATTCATAGCCTAACAATTCAAGTTAACACTAGTCATGCATAGCCTAACAATTCAAGTTATTACCACTAGTCATGCATAGCCTAACAGTTCATGTTATCACTAGTCATGCATAGCCTAACAATTCAAGTTATTACCACTAGTCATGCATAGCCTAACAATTCAAGGTATTACTACTAGTCTTGCATAGCCTAACAATTCAAGTTAACACTAGTCATGCATATCCTAACAATTCAAGTTATTACCACTAGTCATGCATAGCCTAACAATTCAAGTTATTACCACTAGT